TTGGTTTACATTTAAAATGATTATACGTGTACTTAATCGTAAGTTTTTAAACGCAGCACAATTTTCTTGTCTAGGAAAACTGGCGATTGACAATAACGTTTTGTTCCTTTTAAAAATTTGCATTTGTAACGTTACTACTTCAGTTTTACTTAATTAAGTTGTATTTTACTCTACGATGTGAAGTTTGTAACTTTGCGACGACGATTAACACTCTTATCCTGTTACTGATTTTTTTTCATCCTTTGTCAGTGTTCCTGCTGCATGAAAACCTTTATAAGCCACTTATAAATAAATCAGTATAGTTCTGAGAGTGAACGTGGAAAATTTTCTCGCAACCGGTGTAAAAAAAAATTTTCAGTGTCGCCTGTGCTCTTTCCTTGCCCCTCGTCCTTCCTCCCAGGGCGGAGCTGGCGAGACGGCGGGCAAGGACGGACACACGTAATCCGCAAAGTATATCTGGGCCAGAAACTAGTTGGGCAGGGATCAGTTGGATTGAACACATTGTGCTGACCGAGCCAACGTTGCCGGAGTGAACGCTGCGCCCCGCGGGAAAGATCTGGGCAGTCCAGTATACCTCGCGACCGATTCGGAGCACCGTTTAGAAGTGAGATGTAAGAAACGTAATAGAGTTGATGTCGTAGAATGGTGGGTCGAAAACGTTGTACTTGGTATGGAAATAGTTCACGAAAGGTTGAATAACTTTGTCTCTTGTTTCTTGTTATTGAAGAAGTGGACTTGCTGACTTTTTATTACCATTGCCATGCCCCATCCTGGAGTTTTACAGCCGCCCTTCATGACCTCTACGGACAGACTCATGGACCGACAGTCGCCTTTACTGACGGGCTGACAGCGAGGGTCGGTGATCCACCAGGTTCAGTTTCCATCCTCTGACGGAAACTTTTACTTTGTTTTAGGTTTGTTGTTTTCATCGGTTGGGCTAGGAAGAGTGCAGTGGGACGCAAAGTGCACTGTAGAAGCTGTCAAACGCTTCCAGCAGTGTAGTAGACACGAGATATTTCAGTGCCTTGTCGTGGGTAAGTAACAATGTACAGCGTCTGTGTGTGCAGTGGGGAGGAGGAGCAGGTTGTGAAGGATGGCGGGTGGTGGTGCGGCTGCCGTGCGGGCCCCGCCCCCGGCCCCGCGTCCTCCGCCCGCTCTAAACTTCCTTGGGCCGGCAGCTTGCAAGTTAGCCTCCGGGCTTACAGGGGGGTTGTCCACCGGGCGCAGCGCGGCGTCCAGGGGCTTTTGTGGATCGGCCCCGCAGGCTTACGGCTGGCGGCGGCTCTTGGCCTTCGACGCCTGGCCCAGACCGATGTGACACGCGTTAGGGCAGAGGGGATGTCTGGGGGGGGGGGGAGGGGTCAGAGGTCGCAGAACCGAAACCCACACCCCAAGCTCTGCTCTTTGAGCCCAGCCCAACCCGGTGTGTGCCAACCAGGAAACTGGAGGAGTCAAGTCAACTGTTTAGTTGGGGTACACATCAAGACTCCAAATCGTAAATAAAGTAGTTTCTCGTCGAAGCAACTGATATGGCAGCACGCAGAAAAAAATGGCCCCAATAAGCAATATCAATTTTATAACTCACTCCCCTCAAGTGTTGGCAGAATAGCAGGGTACTCCTCAAGGGCTCTGCACCTACTTGTGAAAAGGGTGGGGGGAGAGCAATACGGATAACCTGATTACCGATCACTTAATCCGTAAGGGAGACGCAACGCACCGTGTTCAGCTCAGCAGTAGCGTGTGAAGGCAAGGCAGCCCGCCGTGACGAGGCTACTCCTGTTCACCACTTCAGAGGGCGACTGAAGCCACTGGCGCGTACTGAGGAGGCAGCAGAGAACCTTCCTGGAACCCCGCTCCCTCCCTTCGCTTGGTGTTGCTGACGTTACAGCGCCTTTATAGTGTGAGGTTAAAACGAATCGGTGGTGAAACGCAGTTTTGGGGGACGAGGTTTCCAACACGTCTTGCTTTCCCTCATCCTCAGCAGCGGTCTTTGTAGCCAACCCACATTCATTTTTTAAAAGTACTCACAACGACACTTTGAAAAATTTCATCGTAAATTTACAACATTTCTTGTAATTTGGAATTACAAAATATAATGTTGTAAATTTGCGGCGGACCAGTTTTGCTCCTCGATTAATTCCAAGTCGATAGAAAGTGATTGTAAATTTACAACTTCAAGTTGTAATTTATCGGACTCACATCATGGAAAATTTTCCTGTAAAGTTACGAGTATTTTTCACAGTGGAACGAGTAGAAAAGCTCCCGTAGCGCCTGCCATGTAGGCAACATCTTGCCTGCAGTACATGCGTGTATTGCGGTGTGGTCTACCCTGAGCCTCGCAGGCGTTGAGCCTCCACGTAATTTACAGCTCCGTGCGAATCTGAAAAAAAAAACGGACTTATTTTTTGGACGGTCCTCAGAGCGGGCTGCCTATACTATTTTTGCGCGCTTGTTCCTCGCCTTCCGAGGATGCAAGGTAGCTGACAGATGGAACTGTTCTATTATAAGTGTTTTATTAGCCGGTCTCTAGTTCAATGTGCTGAAACCCTACGCAGTGCGTGCAATTCTTACGGTGTGCTCTGGCAGCCCCCTGTCCTCTGGAGCGGGGGTGGGGCCTAACCAATAGTGTTAGGGACACGCAAAGGCGCGGGCCGTGATTGAGTCATGGGGGTGCGGTCCCCCGTGGGGTCGAAGGTGGCCGCAGAGAGGGGCGCCAAGAAGGGGAAGGGAAAGGGCAGCGGGACCTGCGGGTCCCTGCCGGGTCAGGGGGCGGCTATGATCGTGGCGGATACACATCTCGGCGTGTCCTGGCGGACGTGCTGACCGCCGCCAGGCTGCAGCGCCCGGCAGCGGCCGCCCGCATACCATTTGCACCCCAATAGCCTCGTCACGAAGTCGAACCGGCCCAGGGGGTGGAGGGGGGAGGGACGATGAGGCCCCCGTGTCAAACGCCCCATCAAGCCGGGCGAAGTCGCGTATTAAGATTTAGCATATCGTGCCCACGGCGCTGCAAAATTACTTAGTTTGTTGTGATTTTTACTTGCAGCAGCGGACGCTCACCCGTTTGCTCGCCCGCGCGTGGTAAAAGTTACAAGTCGGCGATTGGCAATCAGCCGTCGCTGTAGCCGAGATTTATTGCCGTTGTAATTTGGGCACCACACCCCGCCCGCCCCTCGCCGCACCCCACCACTGGCAAACAAGGAGAGCGTCACTTTGCATCCTCTAATGACGTGCCGATAATTTTATCCCGCTGCTGATTGATTGCCCGCCCCTCTCCCCCTATCCTCGTCCTCTATCAGGACAACACAGATAGGGCGCATCCGTAAATGATACCACACTTTATCTCTCCCCTCCCTTTGTCATGCCGTTCTCGAAAGTGTTAGAATTATAGCGTACACCCTTTTCTTTCTTGGACGGTAAAAACAATGTCTGACTTTTTGAGGAAAGGGGAAATTCCCCGTCAACGTATTGAGAAGTTCCCATTCTATGAGGGGAAGACCCCAATTTTTAGGAAATCTCGTCAAAAGTTTTGGGGATAATTTTCCTCGTTTTTTTTTTTGATGAAACATCCTCAAATTCTGAGGGTGTTTCTATTTTCTTAAACTATGAGAGTTCCTCAAAGTTTTCCCTTCAGTCATTGTTTTTACCGTGTGGGTTGAGTTGTCAGCAAAGCCGCAGTATTAATCTCTGCTGCTCCCGCTGGCGGGCGGCTGCGGCTCCTGAGATAGTCACTCCTTTTGTGCGCTAAATGAAATTATGATCGAGTCAGCGAAACTTGCGCGAGGCTGCGGAAGAGGGACCGCTCGCCTTAACCCAACTTACCTGAAGTCTCAAGTCGGGGCGTTCCATCACGGTACTGCCCCCCCCCCCCCCCGGGTCGTGTGAGAGACATGCTTTCTGAATGATCCCATAGAATAATTAGGAAAATATGTGTGTCATAATCACCACTGTTTGGGGGGTGCTAACGAATGTAATTTTCGAGGCTGCTAAATAAGGCTTTCCCTTTGAAAATGTACCAAAGTGCGCTGAGTATGCTAATTTTTGTACCTTTGGAGGTTTTAAGTGCCTTTTGTCGGAGGCACTAAAACAGTGTGAGTATTTAAAATGCGGTAAAGAACATTTGTTCTTCCAGTGCGTTTCGCTTGATAATTGATAATACACGGCGAGTATAATATGCTGGCAACTAACTCCCCTTCCACGCCGCTGCCTGGGCCTGCCGCGTCCATAGGCGGGGAGGCATTTCGAGAATGTCTTCTCTGAGCGCGCGCCGCACCGCCGCCCCGTCCCGTTTGTGGCGTCCGAGGCGTGGGCGGCGGCTGGGGGCGCAGCGTGGCGAGCTGAGGACATGAAACTACTCCTGGCACTGGTTTTATCGTCGCCTTGCCCCCCCCCCCTTCCCCTCATTGCAAAAGGGCCCCCCGTCAGTATAAAAGCGACGGCCAACGACGTGCGTTCGACAGCTATTCCGCGCCGCGCGCCACCCCGCTCGGGCCGTGCTTTATGGGCTCACAACATCCATGCGGCTCTCGGAATCAAGGACGCAGTGCACCCCTCCCCTGCTGCTGCGCATTTAGCACAATTTACTGGGTCTGCGTGTTTTTTGAGATACAATAAAGGTTTGAAAGTTTTAGCCCACCTGGCCACATGGCACTTAAAAATATACTTCTTTTAATTCAGAATAGTGTGCCATTTTGATTTTGCACCAAAACATCCTCTTACCTTGCGTACTTTAGGATCCTCGATTTTAATAGATTTTACCCCGTTCTTCCCTGGCCTTTCATCTGCACATTACTATTACTATATTCTTTTAACCGTTACATTTGAGAATTTTAGCACACTAACGACTAAAGCTCAGCCACGACGGGCTGCTGCACGTACTCCTACGTTTTACCAGACTATCACTTGGCACTAAGTACACCTAGAGTTTTTCTGTGAAATCCCCCCCAAAACTTTTAACAGTGTATTTTGCAAGATTTCTTGAAATTGCCAAAACTTTGAAGCCTCATAACGTATAAACCGTTTGAGCTACAGTCCTGCGCTTGGGCTCCTTTTGAAGTCCAACGAGTCCAACACTATTCCCAGGAATCGTTTGGATACCAGTTTGGGGCAGCATCATACAATCGTCGAAATGAGGATTTTTGACTCCGTGATTCTCAGGCCAAGGCCAAAATTCCTATGTATGGAATTCCACGGGATGTGCTCCCATGGGGAAATTCATCCCACGATATTTTCGGCCGCGTTTCTCATATGGTGTTCTTGGTCTACCCGTGGGTTCATCCCATGGTGAAAGAATGGGTTGTCACCGACAACGTTTTAAATGAGTCATTAGTGAGTCCCATGGTGTTGATTGCCTTACTTCCCATGGAAACATTTACTGGGGCGAACGAAGTGCAAAGCAAGCCTCATCGACTAATAAAAAGTTTGTCCTAGGGGTGTCAGAATCGAGGTGGAGCCAAATCTGTTGTCCATTTGAGCCTAGCTACAGCCGTTGTAATGATAGCAGGGAAAGGAATCATATTTTTACAAAATTAAAATGGCCCCACTAAAACACGTCTTAGATGCTACACTGTCAATTTCAGGTCAATACAATAAGAAATAAGGATATTATAGCGTATCTAGATCTTCATAGGAAGTGGGATTTCCCATTGAATTGGCCCTCCTATGGGAAGAGGGCAGAACGAGGGCAGAAGTCCCATGAAAATAGTATGGGACCAGTTACCCTATGAGGACACTGTTTTACCAAGGTGTCGGGAGGACTCATCATAAGAAATTCTAGAGCTCACATGGAGTCAAAGGGACTTTCTATTGGAAACCTTTCATTACCTATGAGACTTTGTCCATGGTGTCATGGTGTCCACAGGATCCAATTGGACGGTCATGAAAATTGTGGCCTGGGTTTGACCCCTCGCGCAAGAGCAGGTTAGTCGTTTCGACCGTTCTGCTACCGCCGTCAGAGTGGAAGCGTCCTTACGTGAAATGTGTCATTAGTGCCATGTGAACAACCACCTTTTAGCTCTGATATGACGAAAAGCGC